CTTTAGTTTTTCAAAGGTATTCACTTTAGGGTCACTTTAGTAACCTCCTAATGCTTTTCACTACATGATTCGACGGTAGGAATTGGTTTACAATAGGCAACTTTTCTGGAATGCATCTTTTCTGTACAATGAAATGCAAACCCATTTAGTTACTGTAGGTCACTACACTTGAATAGAGGTTTAGAAATTGCTTTCGCAAGCTATCTCGTGTCTCAACTTCAGAGCGAGCTCTGAGGGAGAGCTGGACGGGCTGTCTTCCCAGTTTGGGGAGAGTGAGTCCGAGGCGAAGGATGCAGTGAAGCCCCCATCATCGATGAGTGGTGGGTACCGGTTCCCAGGGAGGACACATGGCGTCCGCCATGCCTCCCAGGCGCCAGGCACTGCGTCTTCTCCGACAGGCTGGGCGGGGAAGGGTGACTCTGATGAAGAGAGAGAGTCTCAGCGGACGAACAAGCAAGCAATCCCGATCCGCTGCCTCTAATTTCCAGGTTAGAGTCTTCAAGAAACGCTAAGTTGGAGAAAACCTCATAGATTTGGGCGAACTGAATGTACATAGTTTTTTGAAGTTGGCACAAGAAATATGAAATGAGGCCTACTCTTTTCATTTTAACCTCTTGTACTATTTGGGAGTTTCTGGGGACAAAAGTCCCGCGAACTCTAAAATACCTTACTCCTGTTACCTGTACTTAAATTCTGAATTTCGCAACGAAGCTTAGCCTCATTCAGAATTTTTTTTATTTTATGGGCATAATTTATTGTCTTAAATTAATATCTTAGCTGATAGCAGTTAGCACTTCATATGTAAGTGGAATAATTTATTAAGGGTAGAGATTTGTTAACCTGATCGGTTTTTACTTAAATGCACCAAAGATCTTAGTAGGTTTTACAGTAGTTCAAAAGAATTTACATTCTTTGTTGTTCGAATACTACATATTTGTCCAAAGAAGCACAGTCCAAGTCCTAGGCTTACGGATTTAAAAAAAAATTGTTAGTTTGAATACTAAGATGAAGAGTTTGTGTTTATATGTATAAAAATAAGAATACTGACAAAATGAATTACAAGCAAGAATGCCGTTTTCCTCAGTTCAATTCATAGAAAGTTATCCTTCATGAATCACTATGACATGCATAACAATAAGCTTATTTTGTACACTACACTATTAAAATCATTTGCCTTAGATTTTTTTTAAAGACAAGTTGAAGTTATTTTTGTATGAAACACTCCACCTATTTTTTTTTTTTTTTTCCATCCAGCAAGATCTCATTAACTCTGAAGGTAGTGATCTTGGCATCCTTTTAAGTCATTTAGTCATTTATTGCCAGAAGAACGAGGAGTGTAGCCAAGATAGGGTTTAACCTGGTGCTTCACCCAGCTAACTTCCTCTCGAGTCACGTGAGGTGCACCAATAATGTCCCGTCGACCTTTTTAAAAGTGTCCAAACCTCTTAGCGGAGTAGCTGCAGACCGTTACTTACGGGCTAGAAAAAAACAATCACACATTGCTTTTCAGGCTCCAATTGCAAACAGATTCAAGACACGGCGAGACTGCTCACGTTGGCAAGTTTGCCTTTTCCTCCTTCCAGATCATTCGACCGTGCCCTGGGGCACAAGTCAGACTGTTCGGGGCCCTAGCTCTTTGACCGTCTTGTCCGGATCGAATGCCGTGTGCCTTTTCCCTGCATTGTAGTTGCTTCGAGTTGCTTCCGCCGGCCAGCGTGTGCCGGCCGATAAAACGGTTTTGATTTGGTGATTGTTCTGGGTCTTTCGTTTGTGTGTGGCCTGCTGGCCAGGCAGCACTTTATTGTAATAATTTTTTTTTAGGTGGTTTTATGTTTACGTAAGGAAATAGGCAGTAGCGTACTTGTGTGAATGTGTTTGATTTTTTTTTTTTTAATGTCTATTTTGGCCTTTATAGTCACTACAGACACTCCCAGGCCTGGTTCTATATGCTTCTTAGAGGAATCTAACAAATACAATGAAATGAGTTGTGTGTCTGTCTCTCTGTCTCCTGGGAGGACTCTGAGAGTCGCGGTTGGATTCCTGGGGGACTCAGTGCCAAATTGAACTTGGTGAGAATGTACGAGAAGCAAGCAGCATTTCTCAAACTTCACATGGGGTAACGGGCAAGTGTTCCTTGCTGTTAGAGCGAATGGTGGGTAACGTGAGAGCAGTTTGCTGACCAGTTTAGAAAATGAGACATTTCTTTCTGAGATCCTTTGCCTGCTTTTGTGTTGTCTCTTGGTAAAGTCTGCAGCGGGTTCTTGAGGGGGGATCCGCCTCTTTATTTCCTTCCAAACTATTTCTGCCTAACGATCCTTCATATGCTGGAATAGTAGCATGCTCTTTGCACTTCCTGCGGAAGTAGCTTTGAGAAGACAAAAGTAATAGGATTAGCTTGAATGGTAGATGAGAGATTTTGCTAGAGACGAGTCCTCTGTTTTGTTTCCTTGCTGTGTACTGATTGATCTTAAGCCTATGATTATTGGAAAATTCCCAAAGAACCTAAATTTTAGCCTCTGTAGCCATTCTATAAATAGAAATGAAGATTATATTCACGGAATAGAGGTTTTACAGAGATGGACATGCCTTTTTCCCCCCGCACCCCCCAACCCCCAAATTCTTAACTAAAGAAGTATTTTCACTGCTTGCATTATGTTTGGAAATTCTAAATCATTTCTTGAATAAAGAGCATGTACACTTCTCACGGTTATTTCTCCTCTTCGCTCGGTATTCCTGCGGCGCCCTCACAAAACCCTTACTCCTTCCAGCAGTCGGACTTGACTTACAGATGAAAATTGAGTGTAGCTGACGCGTGTGGCTGCCAATACGTGTGTTCAGAGGTGAGCACTGAGCTGCCCCACATGTACAGTACATGTTACGATGGAGGGGCCTTATCATGTCCATTCCAGTGAAAATGCTTTCGAACTTAGTTCTCCGTCTCAAACCCTAGTTTTGTTTTTAATCCTTAAGGACACGTTTCAGAGCAGTTACCAAGAGAAACCTAACATACCAGCAGGCCTCATTCTGTCCACCACGTGTATGTAACAGTTTTCTGGATGCTCGGGCTGTCTCGTGTTTCCTAAGTACAAACGTCTTTCTAGAAAAAAGGCCCCGCCTCTGTGACAACTGGGAAGTGTGCTGTATGCGGAACTCGCTCTCTGTCATTTTGATGCTTCCAATAAAGTTCTTGGGTCTTTGTAAAGCGTATCGAGGGCATGTGGAAGAGCTTCTCAGCACGCTGTCAAACTCGGCGAGCAAATGGAAAACGCAGCATTCGGGGCATATCTATCAAATCAATTTTATTTCTCATCAGCTAGATATTTTACATATTCAATGTATTAAATGATGTGATGGTTTTTAAGTGGCTAACGAATATAGTACCTTTAAATATTAACCATGACTAGTAAACAGAATGAACTACCCTGTTGAGCTGAAACCATTCAGTGACTGAAGCGTCGGAAGGCTTGTATTTGCAATGTTAATCTGAAGAATGATGGTCACCGTATGAAATAATACAAATCGAGTGTTTTTTAAATGACCGTTCCTGCTAACGTTTTTGCTTAAAAAACTCTGTAGTAGCGTTCTCATTGTACACCAGTCTTAAGGGGGTCAAACACCGCTGTAACCATTTTGTTTAAATGATGTTAAGGTAACGGTTCTCCTTCAGGCCCCATTGGGTATCAGTGAATATTACTTCCTGGCTCACCTTCCTCATTGCCTTCCAACCAGGGGCGTTTTTCTGACACCGTCTGTGTATCCATACCCATTCCTATTTTTAAAGTTTCCGCCCGGCCCGCCTGACTCCGTGGTTGAGCATCGACCTATGAACCGGGAGATCACGGTTCGATTCCCGGTCAGGGCACAGGCCCGGGTTGTGGGCTCCATCCCCAGTGTGGGGCGTGCAGGAAGCAGCTGAGTAGTGATTCTCTCTCATCATGGATGATTCTCCCTCCCTCTCTGAAATCAATAAAAATATGAAATAAAAATAGAGTTCCCTTTTGCCTTTGGAGGCAGTGCGGTATAGGGTAAGGGCAAGATTAGGGCCTCCTGTGTTAACAGCCTGGCTTTGCCTCTTTCTGGTCCTAACGCACTTCTGTAAAATACGGGTTAATGTATTTTACATCCAACAGCAGTTGAGGCTTAAAACCTCCCGGGGCGTGTATGAATATGTCCTTAGACAACGGACAACCGAGATAAAAACCAAGGAGTTCTTTGTCCAGGCGCGGCCTGCCGACACCACCAGTCGTGAATGGCCGAAAATCTCAGGTTTCCTCTATTTGTACTCCCGGCATCTCTAGTGAAGACCCAGCAAACACACAATGCAATCCAAAGACACAATGCAATGTATTGTAGAATTGTGCACCTGAGGCCCTGTATCATGTTATCATCCGTGTCACCCCAATAAATCCGATAATCAATCAATAAAAAACCCAGCATGTAGAAACTCACTGACTCCCTGCTGTGGTCACTCACTAAAACAAGCCATATTCGCACAAACTGCACATGTCATTGTCTTCACTTTGCTCCCATTCAGCCCTGGAATCCGGGAGAGAATGGCTGATGGCTCTGATCCTGGGGCGGGGAGGTGGGGGGTACCCTGAGCCACTCTGTGCTTTCCTAACGGTTTGCTTAAGGTTGCCCCTGGCAACCGCAAGGATGGCCCTCCCTCCCTCCCCAGTGGAAACGCTGCTGCCGCCTCCATCGCCGCCTCCTTCCCCCGCCCTCAATGCAACCTCTTTGCAAAACCCAAAGGGCGGGTTCCCTCTCTCAGCCGCCGCGGGGTTCGGGTGTCGCAAAGACCCCGCCTCGGTTTGCGGCCCCCCCTCCGCGGCGAGCGAGCGCGACGAGACAAGAGCCATCATTTAAATGAGGCGCTGCCTTCCCATTGGCCCGGCGCTGCCGCCCTCCGATTGGCCCCCGCGGAGGCGCCGCTGCTCGCTGATTGGCTCCGCGGGGTGCCGCGGGCGGGGCCGCGCATGCCCATTGGCGGAGGAGGGAAGTTTAAAGTCGGGGCAAGACGCCTCCTCACCTGCGTCGTCGCCGCCGCTGTCGGGCCGGCGGCGAGTGTGTCTGGGGGACTCGCGGCCTGTGTTTCGGGGTGCGGTTGGCGTTGTGCGCGGGGCGCCATGGCGGCGGCGGCGGAAGCCCCCCGGGCTGCCCTGGCGGCGCGGCGCGGCTGCGGGGCCGCCGGGGAGCCGGGCCCGCCGCCCGTGCTCATCCTCAGCCACTTCTGCCCGCGGCCCTTCGTGTGCTTCGGGGCCCTGCGGCCCGGCGCCTCCCGGGCGCTGCCGCTCGCCGTGCTCAACCCCAACGCCGAGCCGGCCGCCGTGGCGCTGCCCCCGGGGCCCGCCGCCGAGCGCGGCTTCCTGGTCCGGCCGCGCGCCTTCCGGCTGCAGGTGGGTGTGCGGGCCGCGCGGGCGTCACCCGGGGTGCGGGGTGCGGGGTGGGGGGTCCCCAGAGAGGAGGAGGAAGCCAGGTGCATCCGGGTCCCCCTTCTCAGGAGGGGGACTGAGGGCCGGGGTGCTGGGGGGGGGGGGGGGGGGTTGGGCAGCACCGCACCCCAACGCGCATGCGCGTAGCATCCTTGGGCAGCATCTCAATAGCTTATTGCCTAGAGCAGCTGTTTCCTTGGTTAAAGAAATATATCTTATTGGTTTTTTTTTGCAGAGAGGAAGGGAGAGGGATAGAGAGTTAGAAACATCCATGAGAGAGAAACATTGACCAGCTGCCTCCTGCACACCTCCCCCACCAGGGATGTGCCTGCAACCAAGGTACACATGCCCTTGACCAGAACCCGGGACCCTTCAGTCCACAGACAGGATGCTCTATCCACTGAGCCAAACCGGCTTCGGCTTTAAAATATCTTATTGATTTTTTCACTGAGAGGAAGGGAGAGGGACAGGGAGTTAGAAACATCGAAGAGAGAGAAACATCCAGCTGCCTCCTTCACACCCCCTACTGGTACACGCCCTTGACCAGAATCGAACCCGGGACCCTTGAGTCCGCTGGCTGACGCTCTATCCGCTGAGCCAAACCGGTTTCGGCTTGCTTTCTTTTTTAAAAACTTTCTTTGTGGATTAAGGTATTACATATTTGTTTTCATCCCCCCCCATTACCTTCCCCCCCACCCCCCACTCATGCCCTCACCCCCCTGGTGTCTGTGTCCATTGGTCTGCGTGCACACAGGTCCTTTGGTTGATCTCTCCCCTGCCTTTCCTCTGAGGTTTGACAGTCTGATCGCTGCTTCCCTGTCTCTGGTTTTCAACCTCGTTCGTCTCCTGGAATATGTAACTAACTGCTGGAATTCTGCAGCACCCCCCATCGCCCCCCCAAAATATCCAATATAACCTTAGCTAATCTGATCCATATATATATATATATATATATATATATATATATACACACACACACACACACACCCATACACAATATATATATATATATATAGTATATATATCAATCTGATATATATCAGACCAATCTGACCAAAACAAAATTTTTGGGGCAAAAGTCTTAATAATGCAGTTTCTTCTATTGTATATTCGGACTGGAAGTAGTATGCATATCCCAAAGAAGTAGAAATATGTGATTTAAATTTAAAAAACCCCCAATAATGAAATATGATTTGGAGACTGTGTCATTGCTTTATTTGTAATTAAAATCTAGTTACCATTTCATTTTATTGTGAACCTTGTTACTGCTGTAGCTTTTTTCCTCGTACTGAGTGAGAGAGGTTAGGAAAACATGTTTGATTTAATGTTACTGTGGTGTAGAGTGTTGGTGAGCAGCGGTTAGTAATCTTGCCCTGTGGTCTGAGTTGTTCATGGTATGTGCTGGTTGGTATGCCTAGTCTCGTTACAGCATCTTAAAATCATTCTTCCGATTTCAGCCGAAAGAAAAGATCGTCATATCTGTGATCTGGACGCCAGTGAAAGAAGGCCGAGTCCGAGAGGTCCTGACGTTTGTTGTCAATGACATTCTGAAGCACGAGGTCATACTGCTAGGAAACGCCGAGGAGCCCAGAAAGAAAAAGGTAATCACTCTTCCTCATCCTGCCATTTACGCTTAAGAAAATAACAGCGTGTAAACATTGCTTTGATAACACCTGTGGAGGTGAGTTACGCACATAACGTTTTCTTATTACAGGTAACGTACAACCACCATCAACCTAGCTTGTCCGTTTTGCTTATTTTTGCAGAGGAGTCTTTGGGACACCATTAAGAAGAAAAAAGCTTCGGCCTCCTCAGGCCACAAGAAAAGGATTCCGAATATTCCGAGTGTGAACCAGACGTTCAGCGTCCTGCCCAAAGCAGACAGAGTCAGGAGCCCCCTCCAGGCCTGTGAAAACCTGGGTGCGAACGAAGGCTGTGCCCCAGCAGCCAGCGGTTCTCTCCTCCTCCAGGAGAACAGAATACCCATCTCGCCCATCAGCCCCGCTCTGGAGGAATGCCGCGGGGACGCGTGCCTGCCCCTGTGCGTCCGGCGGTCCACCACCTACACGGCGCTCCAGGCACCTGGCAGCGGGCAGCTGTGGGCACTGGGAGGTGCCCCCGTGTGCCAGGAGTTCACCGAGAACGTCACGCTGGAAAGTTCCGTGGACTCCTTGACGGATGATGTCAACGGACCCATGGAAGAGGCCGGTAAACGCTTTCTCACCCCAAGCTGCCCTTCCACGTGGGGCGTTCACCGGAGCCACGGGGACTGTCTGAGCCCCGGTTCCTTTCTGAGGAGCAGCCACGGGGCCGGCGATAAACCGGCGCCGGCGACGTGCGTCTCCCCGGACGTGTTTCCGAAAGCGGGTTCGAGGCCCAGGCCCGTGGAACCAGACACCATCCATGGCACGTATCAGGCCATTTTAAGTCCCGATTCCTTCCTCAAGGACAATTACGGGCTAAGCCAGAAGCTGGAAGCGGAGCCCGTGAACCTGTTTGTGTCCCCAAACCAGTTTGTCCGAGAGAACATGCCACATTTATGTGTAGCTCAGCCAACGTGTCAGTTGTCGCCGCTCTCCAAAGAGAATTCTCAGGCCCCGCCGTCTCCCCCGGGGCAGAAAGAAAGTGAAGATTTACCGCCTATTCCTGGAAGCCGGGGCTCGAACTCTCCAGAAGCTGTCTTCGAAGAACCCGCGGCTTTGGAAGCGATGCCGGATGGTTCCGGTTTCACAGAACAGAAGCGGCCCTGGCTGCCCGCAGCCCAAACTGCCGCCGGACCGCACCCCGGGGCCCAGCCCCCGCGCCGCCCCATCCTCTCGGCCACGGTCACGAAGCCGAGGCCGCCGGGGCCCCGGGCGCACGCGGGCACCAGCGCCCCGAGGGCCAGGCGGTGCCTCCGCGGCGCTGTCGGCGGCTGTGGGAGCCCCGCGGACGACCCCGAGGGAGACGGCGCCCTTCGCCCCCCGCTCCCGGTCATCGATCCCGCCGGGAGCAGCTCTCTGGGGAGCGGAAGAGCCCCCCGCTCCCCCCAGAGCGCCCTCACGGCGGCGCGGAAGAGGAAGAGCGGGGGCAGCGGCGAGGACGCGCGCGGGCCGCCGGCTGGCCCCCCAGAGGGACGGGAGAGCAAGAGGACCCACCTCTGTCCCCCGGAGCCCCGGACCTCCACCGCCAGGAAGACCAGAGCGCCGGGGACGCCCGGCCCGCAGCGTCCGGGCAGCGGGAGGAGGTCACTCCCCAGGACGAGGGCCGGTGAGTGTCCGCAGGAGCTGGTTCCCCCTGACGGCCACGCTGTCGGCTGCTCTGAGCTGGCCTGAACCCGCCCCTGCAGGCACCCCCCTCCCCGGTCCCGGCTCTTCCGGAAACTCCGCCATGTTTCTGGAAACCTGGTGCCAGCATCCTCCTGCCCTCCAGCCCTGCAGCCCTTTCATCCCCACTCCCTCCCAGCCGCCACGTCCGCCCGCCTCCACGTTCGTCTTACTCAGCGTGGCCGCCATCACTCCTCACACACACACACACACACACACACACACGTCTCCTCGCTGTGCTTGTCTAGAGACACCCATCCCAGCCCAGTGCGGCCGCCTCTCGGCCTGAACCCTGCTGGTGGGTCCTTAAGTGCGTGACCTCTGCCCTGGCCGGGTGGCTCAGTGGGTGGGAGCATCATACCACTCACCAAAAGGGGGAGGGCACATACCCAGTCCAGTCAGGGCACATGCCGGGGTCTGATTTCTAGTCGGGAGGCAACCAATGGGTGTTTCTCCCCTACTCCCCTTTCCCTCCCTCCTTTCCCCCCTCCCTCCCTCCTTTCCTTCTTTACTTTCTCTTTAAAATCAATAACCATAACTTCATGTGAGGATTTAAAACAATAAGTAAGTAAATAAATTCATGCCCTCCGACCTCAGGGAAGCCCTTAAGTCTCAGCTCGGCTCTGTTTTCCTGGTTTGGGACCGTGTCCCTCTGCTGCAGGCTGCCGCCGCCTCCCTGCCCGCTTACGGAGAGCCAGTGGTCGGCCTGGCACCTCCCCGGTCTCTATGCTTCTGCCTAATCAGTTCTCATCGTGGCCACTCAGCCGCTTCCTGTCCGCTTTGGCCTCTGGTCTGACCCCTGTCCTCCGCCTCCTACACGCTTGCTGCACGGACAGGCTCGTGGAAAAGCCACATGTAGCCGGGAAACGGATCTCATGTCACCTTTTAATGCTCTTGTTCTGCTTTACAATTTATTTTAGATTCTTTAGTTTTCAAAACTCCTAAACCTAAAACACACAGACGGACACCACGCATGGTTCCTGTGGCCCAGGCTAGTCTGACCTTCATTAAACGCTTGAAAACAGGCAAGTGTCTCTGGGCGGCAGCGGCTGTGGGAACTGCCCTGAGCGGAGCAGGCCTGGTGTTCCCGCGGAAACGGATCGCCTGTGTGAACGGGAGCCGGGGAGAGCCGGGAAGGGGATGTGCGGTGGCCATGGGGGCGCTTTCTCAGCTCCGGGACTCGGGGTTTCCAGATGAAAGCAGCAGGGGCTGCCTCGCTCTCCCTTCGTCCTCGGATTGCGTGTCACTCACTCCCCAGGGCTCCCGCCGTCTCCAGTGAGCGGGAGAGACGCCCCTCTCTGTGCTCTGCTGCCGTGTGCCCTCTGACGCTGTAAAGGAAAAGGTCTCATCCGCCCCCCCCCCCGCCCCCCGTCTCACGCCCGCAGACGTCCCCCGGCACCCGATGCCCTTCGCCGCCAAGAACGTGTTCTATGACGAGCGCTGGAAGGAGAAGCAGCAGCTGGCCCTCACGTGGTGGCTCAACTTCCTCCTGACGCCGGACGACCTGGCCGTGAGGACGCAGGTCCCGGAGGGTGAGTGCCTGCCCCCACAGGGAGGGCCCCGCACGCCATGCGCCTTCTTTATCTGTTTGATGTGTCAGCGATTCTTTACAGAGAAGGAGAGTTAGAAACATCCGCCAGCTGCCTCCTGCACACCCCCCGCTGGGGCTGTGCCCGCAACCAAGGCACACGCCCTTGACGGGAATCGAACCCGGGACCCTTCCGTCCGCAGGGCGACCCTCTATCTACTGGGCCACACCAGTGAGGGCCAGACTGTGCCTTTTTATTATTTTTATCTTTTTAAATATATCATCGTTGATTTCAGAGAGGAAGGGAGAAGGGGAGAGAGAGATACAGTAGAAACATCAACGATGAGAGAGAATCATGGCATGGATCGGCTGCCTCCCGCACATTCCCTACTGGGGTTCAAGCCTCTGCCTGGAATCGAACCCGGGACCCTTCAGTCCGCAGGCTGAATGCACCCGGGAGGAGACAGTGTGGGAAGGGATGGAACCAGCAGGTCGCGGTGGGGGACGGGCCTCCGGGCTTGGCGTTGAGCTGGAGGGGAGGAGGGCGCCTGGGAGGGCGCGGGTGACATGGCGGGCGGTGGGCACCGCGTTCACCGGGCCCCTCTGTCTCCCCTCTCCTGCAGTGAACGCCGCCACGCTGCTCCTGGGCGCCGAGAGCCACCACAAGCCGAGCGTGGCCCGCGCGCCCACCAAGGAGGAGGTGTCGCTGCGGGCGTACACGGCCCGGCGCCGGCTGAACCGCCTGCGGCACGCGGCCTGCCGCCTGTTCACGGCGGACGGCATGGTGCAGGCCATCAGGAAGCTGGAGGGGGAGATCGCAGCCCGGCGGCTGGCGGTCCGGAGGGACAGGCGGCTCTGGAAGGACGTGGGTACGCCGGCGGCTATGCCTCTCTGTCTGTGAACGCGAAGTTCGTGTATTTGTAAAGTCACTTCCTGTGCGTGACGGCCCGCCTCCCCGTCCCCCGTGGAGGTGGTGACTGGTGTGTGCTTGGTTCCAGGGGAGCGGCAGAAGGTCCTCAGCTGGCTGCTGGCCTACAACCCGCTGTGGCTGCGCATCGGCCTGGAGGTGAGGGCGCCCCCCGCGGCCGCGCTTTCAGACGCGCTTGTGGGAGACGCTCACAGTGACACGTTCCCTGATGGAAGCGTTTCAGTAGCTTTTCTTCCCGTTTGAAACCAAAGCGCTCAGGAGGCACGGGGACCAGGCCCCTGTAGGCCATCGCCTCTTCGTTTTATAGCCGCTTCTTGTCAGTTCTGAAACACATCTAGAACGCGGTGCTAGACAGAGTAACAAGTGGCAGAACTGGGCTCTTGTGAGTCCATTTCCGAATTGGAACCTGAGCACCACTGAGGGCTGTGCCGTGTGTCCGCTTCTCCGATGGCACGGAGGGTGGATGTGACGTTGACCTCGGTGCCAGCCCCTGGCCGCGCTGGGCCCTGCCGGCTGGTGCGGGCAGCCCTCTGCGCCCCGTGCACAAAGGTGGCATCGGAACTCGAGGTGCCCCCATCACCCAAGGCCCAGTCGTTCTGAGAATGTGAAAACGGACAGAGTGAGAGAGGGGCCGCACTGCCCCTAACAGCTGCGGGCCCCCTGCTCCCCAGGACGGAGGGCGTGGCCGGAGATGAAGATGGAGATGGCCTCCACCTCCCCATCCGGCCCCGCAGCCTCTCGGCCCGGTCCTGACTCGGCTCTCGTTCCCCTCCAGACGGTGTTCGGGGAGCTCATCGCTCTGGAAGACAACAGCGACGTCACGGGGCTGGCCGTGTTCATCCTGAGCCGCCTCCTGTGGAACCCCGACATCGCCGCCGAGTACAGACACCCCTCCGTCCCCCACCTGTACCGAGACGGTGAGGGCTCCAGAGGGGGCGGCTCCTCGTTCTCCTGCCTCGGAAGTCACCGGCCGGAGAAAGAGCACCAGCCGGGTCCTCCCCCCCCCTCCCCTCTTCCCTGCACGTCCTCCACCTGTGTTCCCCCTGCCTCTGCGCTCCGCCCCCTCCCGCTCCCCCCGCGGGGCTGTGGCTGTGGCTGTGGCTCCGCCCCTCCCACGCCCCCCGCGGGGCTGTGGCGGTGGGGGTGGCGGTGGCGGTGGCGGTGGCGGGGATCTGCTGGGGGATCTTGTGTTGTTAACCTGTCCCGCTGCGTGTGCCGCCCTCAGGCCATGAGGAAGCCCTCTCGGCCTTCACGCTCAAGAAGTTCGTGCTGCTGGTCTGCTTCCTGGACCGCGCCAAGCTCTCCCGGCTCATCGACCACGACCCCTGTCTCTTCTGCAAAGACGCCGAGTTCAAGGTGGGGCCCGTCTTGTCGGTGGCGCTGCCCGGTCCCCCCTGCCGTGTCGCACGTTTTCTCTGTAGAAGAGGGAGCTCCTCGGGGAGCGGGGCTGGGTGGGCAGAGCCGGGTCCTCCCAGCGGCTCCGCTCCGTCTGGGGGTTCGCCTGAGCCTCCCCGGCCGGCCCTGAACCCGGAGAGGAGCAGACGGGGTTCCCGGGCCTCTGCGCGGGGGCCGCTGCTCGTTCCGAGAGAGCGTTCGTCTGAGCCGCTTCTGAGCGGTCACTGTCGGGGTGGGGGGCGCGGGGTCTGACGCCTGGCTGCCCGCAGGCGAGCAGAGACGTCCTGCTGGCCTTCTCCCGGCGCTTCCTCAGCGGGGAGGGCGACCTGTGCCGCCACCTGAGTGGGCTGGGGCTGCCCGTCAGCCACGTGCAGACGCCCCTGGACGAGTTCGACTTCGCCGTCACCAACCTCGCCGTGGACCTGCAGTGCGGGGCGCGCCTCGTGTGAGTGGAGACGCGGACGGGTCTGCTGCTGGGTTCGCTGGAATGTTCCCGAAGGCACTCTTGTCTGTATTTGCACGGTCTTCGTTGCTTTCTCAGTGTTTGGAGGTGAATCTAGGGTTAAAAAACGGGACCAAGCATCGGCGGCACTTTCGGGAGAATGGGGTCCGTGCCCTCGGCGTGCTGGCGGGAGCGAGGAGGTTCAGAGAGTGTTTGAGTCTTTCTGACTCTTTAACTTGGTGGTGGGGGTTATGTGGGTGGTAACCGTATTTTAATGAGGCTTTATATCACACTCTGTTTTATATCACTCTCTCATCTGGAACCCCTCCCGCCGGCAGGCGCGCCGTGGAGCTGCTCACGCGGAACTGGGGGCTCTCCAGGCAGCTCCGCATGCCCGCCATCAGCCGCCTCCAGAAGGTGCACAACGTGGACCTCGCTCTGCAGGCGCTGCGCGCCCGGGGCGTCTCCTTACAGGACGAGCAGGGTGAGCCCGCGGCCGCTCCCCGAGGCCCTGTCCCCCCTCCTCCCTGTCCCCCCTCCTCCCTCCCCCGCGGCGCTGACCTGTCTCCGCTGCAGGAAGCGCCATCCTGGCCAAGGACATCGTGGACCGGCACCGGGAGAAGACACTGGCGCTGCTCTGGAGGATGGCGCTGGCCTTCCAGGTACCGAGGCGGCCGGGGGAACCGTGACTTCCTCCTGCTGTGCTGTCCCCGGAACGGGCTGGTCCTCAGAGCACCCGCCCTCTCCCTCTCCCTCCCTCTCCCTCACCCCTCCCTCTCTCTCACCCCACTCTCTCCCTCACCCCTCCCTCTCCTTCTCCCTCCCTCTCCCTACCCCTCCCTCTCCCTCTCCCTCTCCCTCCCTCTCTTTCACCCCACTCTCTCTTACCCCTCCCTCTCCCTCACCCCTCCCTCTCCCTCACCCCTCCCTCTCCCTCTCCCTCTCCCTCTCCCTCTCCCTCTCCCTCACCCCTCCCTCTCTCTCACCCCACTCTCTCTCTCACCCCAGAGAGGAAGCCGAAGGGAAAGGCCACGTCCGGGGCGGGAAGTGGACAGGCTGGGGCCCAGCTTGTCTGGCCTGAGACCCCGTGGGCGGAGCCCCTGCCCCTCCCTCGCCCCCAGCGGACGTGTTGGTCTAAAATAGACGTCAGGTCTGCAGCCATACCACCCTGAACGCGCCTGATCTCGTCTAAAATAGACGCCAGCTTCTGGGGTGGAAGCGATGCTCTGTCCGAAGGACTGAGGTAGTCATGTGCCTTACGTTCAGGTGGACATCGCTCTCAATGCGGACGAGCTAAAGGAAGAAATCGACTATTTGAGGAGCGCGTGGAGGGCGAGGAAAAGCTCGCCTGCGCCCTCCCGCCGCGCGGACACGGCTCTCCGTGAGCAGACGGACCAGGAGCGCCCCGAGAGCGTGCGGCTGCTGCTGGAGTGGGCGCGGGCCGTGTGCGCCTTCTACGGTGCCCAGGTGCGTGCCCGTGCCCCCCTGTGCCCGCCTCCGCCCTCTGCCCGCCTCCGCCCTGTGCCCGCGTCTGTGCTGTGCCCGCCTCCGCCCTCTGCCCGCCTCCGCCCTGTGCCCGTGTCCCCCTGTGCCCGCCTCCGCCCTGTGCCCACCCGGGTCCTGTGTCTGCGTCCGCCCTGTGCCCGCGTCTGTGCTGTGCCCGCCTCCGCTCTGTGCCCGCCTCCGCCCTCTGCCCGCCTCCGCCCTGTGCCCGTGTCCCCCTGTGCCCGCCTCCGCCCTGTGCCCGCCTCCGCCCTCTGCCCGCCTCCGCCCTGTGCCCGCGTCTGTGCCCGCGTCCCCCGTGAGGCGCGGGCGGGTCAGACGGCAGGTGGGCACGGCCGCTAGCGTCTCTGCTTCCCCGCGGCGCCGACCTTCCCGCTCGCCCGCAGGTGGACAACTTCACCGTGTCCTTCTCGGACGGCCGCCTGCTGTGCTACCTGATCCACCACTACCACCCGCGCTGCGTGCCGCTGGCCGCCATCCGCCAGCGCACCTCGCAGACCGTGGAGTGCGCGCAGTCCGGCTCCGTGGTCCTCAACTCCTCGTCCGAGTCCGAGGACAGCGGCCTGGACCTGTCCCTGCGAGCCCTGGAGCTGCGGCAGGCCGGTGGGTCGGTGGGCGTGGCCCCAGGGTCGGTGGGCGTGGCGTGCTGAGTGGGTGGGCGTGGTCTCAGGGTCAGTGGGCATGGCGTGCTGAGTGGGTGGGCGTGGTCTCAGGGTCAGTGGGCATGGCGTGCTGAGTGGGTGGGCGTGGTCTCAGGGTCAGTGGGCGTAGCCTGCTGAGTGGGTGGGCGTGGTCTCAGGGTCAGTGGGCATGGCGTGCTGAGTGGGTGGGTGTGGCCCATGAGTGGGTGGGCGTGGTCCGCTGAGTGGATGGGCGTGGTCCGCTGGGTTGGTGGGCGTGGCCCGCTGGGCCGGGGGCGTGGCGCGCTGGGTGCCAGGCCTGCAGTTGGCAGAGCCGCCGGCTCACGGCGGTCCTCCGGCGCAGGGACAGCCCCCGAGGAGCTGCACCGGGAGCTTCTGGAGAACGAGAGGAGGAACTTCCAGCTGGTGAGCTCCGCGGCCCGGGACCTGGGCGGCATCCCGGCCATGGTCCAGCACGCGGACATGTCCAACACCATCCCGGACGAGAAGGTGCGCGAGGGGGGCCCCTTCCCTTCCCCGAGGCCCGGGAGGCGGCGGCCCAGGGACGGCCCGGGGGCCTGCCGCCTGCCGCCGGCGCCTCCATCTCCGCTTCCTCCAGGTGGTGATCACCTACCTGTCCTTCCTCTGCGCGCGGCTGCTGGACCTCCGCCGGGAGAGCCGGGCCGCGCGGCGCATCCAGGCGGCGTGGCGGGAGCACCGGCTGCGGGCGGAGCGGTGCTGCCGGCAGGTACCGGGTGGAGAGCCGCTGGTCTGGTCGTGCGCGGTGCTGGGATGGCTCTTCCGGCCCACCCCGGTTTCCTTTCCTCTGTTCGGTGTGCCTGCCCGGTTAACATTAACAAAAGACTTTCTTATAATAATCACGTAGGGCCTCCAGTGATGGTTCAATTGCTTTCTTGTTTTGAGGAGCGAGACCGAGCTGCCAGCGTCCTCCAGGCGGCCGTGCGGGGCTTCCTGGCCAGACGGCGCCGGCGGAGGGAGGCGCGGGCCGCGCTGGCCGTCCAGAGGCGCTGGCGGGCGCTGTGCCGGCGGCGGGCAGCCCTGCGGGCCGAGCGGGAGCGCCGGGAGAGAGCGCGGAACCAGGCGGCGGCCGTGATCCAGGTCAGCATCTGGCCCTTTGGAACTTTTAAAGCACACGTGTCAAACACAAGGCCCGCCGGCCAAATCCGTCCCGCCAGGCCTTGCAATGTGGCCCGCACCGCGCTGTCATCACTGCGCTCCGCTGCGTTTCCATCACAATGACAGTTTATGACTGTTGAGTAAACCATTCGGCCCGCGATTTAGGCTGGATTTTAGATTTTGGCCCCTTCTCTGATTGAGTTCGACACCCCTACTTTAAAGGAAGGAAGTGAAATACGATCAACTTCTAAGTTGTTGTAGCTTAGACTTCTGTTTTACCTGGGGCTTAACCTCGGCAAATATCGCAGGAGCATTTGAGATGTCGCTTCCTGACGTATGTCATCCGTTTGCCTCAACCTCTTATAAAAACGAAAAAGCCAGACGCGCTTGTGTGAACGCCGGGTGCAGGTGCAGGCGCAGGCGCAGGCGGGCGATGCCCGCTCTCCCCGGAGGGGCCCGCAGGCCGCCTATGGCCTCTGCTGTGTCTTCCTCCCGGGGTCTCCAGGCCTCCCCCCGGCCGGGCTGGCCTGCATGCTCTCATTCCACTCCACAGTCTGCTTCTGCAGTAATCTGCTTGATTACTGCAGAATCAGAAAGATATTTGCATTGTGCCCAGCCTTAGGTAATCGCATTAGGGTTGAGACAAAGATCGGTGAGTTGGCTCCAGCCGTATCAATGTAGGATCCGACATAGACACACAGAGAGACGAGTATCTTTTTCAAAAGTATGTTGTTTTAATGTAACGTGCTCAAAAGTATGTTGTTTTAATGTAACTTTTAAGCAATATGTTTGAGAAATGAAGGCCTGCGGACGTGTGGCGTTCAGGGGCTGGCCTCACTCTGTGCTCCTTCCTCCCGCAGAGACACTGGAGGAGGTTTTCCGCCCGGAGGCGGTTCCTGAGGCTGAGGCACTGCTGCGTGGTCCTGCAGGCCCGTTGGAGGATGGTCGCCGCCGTCACCGCGCACCGCCGCCACCTGCGGGCCGCGGTCGCCATCCAGCGGCGCTGGCGGGCGCTCCTGCAGGGCCGGGCGGAGCGCGCCCGCTTCCTGCAGGCCCGGGCCGCGGCCCTCCGGCTGCAGGCGCACTGGCGGAGGCGGCGGGAGCGAGCGCGGTTCCTGAGCCTCCGGGAGGCGGCCGTCAGGCTGCAGGCGCTCGTGAGAGGACACCAGCAGCTGCGGAGATACGGGAGGCTGAGGAGCGCCGCCCTCGTGATCCAGGCGCGTTTCCGAGCTCGCGTGGCGGCCCGGGGCGCGCTGGCGGCTTACCGGGAGACGCGCGCGGCCGTGCTGGTGCTGCAGGCTGCGTGGCGGGGGCTGCGGGCCCGGAGGACATTCCAGCGTGTCCGCATGTCCGCCGTGACCATCCAGTCCCACTACCGCGCTCACGTGGCCAGAAGGAGCTTCCTGCGCCTGAGACACGCCGCCGTCCGGCTGCAGGCCTTCGCCCGGGGCCGCCTGGCCCGCCGGCGGCTGGGGCAGCAGAGGGCGGCCGCCGTCACGCTGCAGGCCTTGTTCCGCATGCGGGCGGCCCGGCGGCGCTTCCTGCGAGTGCGCCGGGCGGCTCTGCTCATCCAGCGGCTCTACCGCGCCCGCCAGGCACTGCTCAGCCGGCGGAGGCACCGCCAGGTGCTCAGGGCCGCCACCTGCCTGCAGGCCGCGTTCCGGGGCCACCGGGCGCGCCGGCTCCTCCAGCGCCAGGCTGCGGCCGCATGCACCATCCAGGCCGCGTTCCGGGGCCACCGGGCGCGCCGGCTCCTCCGGTGCCAGGTCGTGGCTGCGTGTACCATCCAGGCCGCGTTCCGAGGCCACCGGGCGCGCCGGCTCCTCCAGCGCCAGGCTGCGGCCGCATGCACCATCCAGGCCGCGTTCCGGGGCCACCGGGCGCGCCGGCTCCTCCAGCGCCAGGTCGTGGCCGCGTGTACCATCCAGGCCGCGTTCCGAGGCCACCGGGCGCGCCGGCTCCTCCAGCGCCAGGCTGCGGCCGCGTGCACCATCCAGGCCGCGTTCCGGGACCACCGGGCGCGCCGGCTTCTCCAGCGCCAGGCTGCGGCCGCGTGCACCATCCAGGCCGCGTTCCGGGGCCACCGGGCGCGCCGGCTCCTCCAGCACCAGGCTGCGGCCGCATGCACCATCCAGGCCGCGTTCCGGGGCCACCGGGCGCGCCGGCTTCTCCAGCGCCAGGTCGTGGCCGCGTGTACCATCCAGGCCGCGTTCCGAGGCCACCGGGCGCGCCGGCTCCTCCAGCGCCAGGCTGCGGCCGCGTGCACCATCCAGGCCGCGTTCCGGGACCACCGGGCGCGCCGGCTTCTCCAGCGCCAGGCTGCGGCCGCGTGCACCATCCAGGCCGCGTTCCGGGGCCACCGGGCGCGCCGGCTCCTCCAGCGCCAGGCTGCGGCCGCATGCACCATCCAGGCCGCGTTCCGGGGCCACAGGGAGCGGGCGCGCCGGCTCCTCCGGCGCCAGGCTGCGGCCGCATGCACCATCCAGGCCGCGTTCCGGGGCCACCGGGCACGCCGGCTCCTCCGGCGCCAGGCTGCGGCCGCGCAGACCATCCAGGCCGCGTTCCGAGGCCACCGGGCGCGCCGGCTCCTCCAGCGCCAGGCCGCGGCCGCGTGCACCATCCAGGCCGCGTTCCGGGGCCACAGGGAGCGGGCGCGGTTCCGGGCGGTGCTCCGGGCCGCCGTCACCGTCCAGAGGTGGTACCGGGCCTGCACGGCAGCTCGGGACCGGAGAGCTCGGGCTGCGAAGGCGCGAACGGCGGCGCTCGCTCTGCAGGCGGCCTATCGCGGCTGGAGGGTGCGGGCGCAGGTCCGCCGGGAGCGGCGGGCGGTGCTGAGGATCCAGGCCGCGTTCTGCGCGGCCCGGGCCCGGAGGCGGTTCCAGCGGCTGCGAGCGGCCGCGCTGGTCCTGCAGCGGCGCTGGAGGGCGAGGGCCGCGGGGCGGAGGCAGCGAGCGGCGTACACCGGGCTCCGGCGGGCGGCGCTGACCCTGCAGGCCGCGCGGAGGGGGTGGGCGGCCAGGAGGCAGATCCAGAGGCGACACGCGTGCGCCGCCGTCATCCAGGCCCGGTTCAGGGCGCGCAGGGCCCGGAGGAGGTACGCGGCCTGCAGGGCCGCCGCCATCGCCATCCAGCGGTGGTACCGGCAGGTCAGCGCCGCCCGCCAGCAGCGCAGGCACTACCTCCGGCTGCAGGAGGCAGCGGTCCGCATGCAGGCAGCCTTCCGGGGCCAGCGGGCCAGGAGGCAGCTGCAGCGCATGCACAGGGCGGCCGCCGCCATCCAGGCCGCGTTCCGGATGCACCGGGCACGGGAGAGGTTCCGCCGGGCGAGAGCGGCCGCCGTGGCCATCCAGAGGAGGTTCAGGGCCCGTCGCCAGGGCCGGGCGCAGCGCGCGCAGTTCGTGGCCGTCCTGCGGGCCGTGCGTGTGCTGCAGGCGAGCTGGCGAGGAGCGCGAGCCGGGCGGCCGCGGCGGGCGGCCGCGCTGATCCAGCGCTGCTACCGCGGGCACCGAGCACGCACGTCCTTCCTCCGGCTCCGGCGGGCCGCAGAGACCGCGCAGCGCCGGCACCGCGCGGCCGGCACCCTCCAGGCCGCCGCCCGCGGCTGGCTGGTGCGGGAGCGGCTGCGGGAGATGCACCGGGCGGCCGCCGTGGTCCAGGCCGCGTTCAGGGCGCACCGAGCGCAGGCCGGGTACCGGGCCCTCAATCAGGCCTCGGTCCTGGTGCAGGGGCGGCACCGAGCCTGCCGAGCGGCGAGGCTGCGGGGAGAGGAGTATGTCGGACAGCCGGGAGCAGCCCGACAGCGGGGTAGAGAGGAGTGTGTCGGACAGCGGGGAGCAGCCGGACAATGGGGAGCAGCCGGACAGCGGGGAGCAGCCGGACAGTGGGGTAGAGAGGAGTGTGGCGGACAGCGGGGAGCAGCTGGACAGTGGGGAGCAGCCGGACAGCGGGGTAGAGAGGAGTATGTCGGACAGCGGGGTGCAGCCGGACAATGGGGAGCAGCCGGACATTGGGGAGCAGCCGGACAGCGGGGTAGAGAGGAGTATGTCGGACAGCGGGGAGCAGCTGGACAGTGGGGAGCAGCCCGACAGCGGGGTAGAGAGGAGTGTGTCGGACAGCGGGGTGCAGCCGGACAATGGGGAGCATCCGGACAGTGGGGAGCAGCCGGACAGCGGGGTAGAGAGGAGTATGTCGGACAGCGGGGTGCAGCCGAGGTCCTGCCGGCCACACCGGAGGGAGAGGAGGCAGGACGGCGCTCGCAGGAGCAGCTCGGAGCCGCTGTGCTCACTCAGCGCGCGCACCGGAGGCACCGGCAGCGCCTCCCCCACCAGCAGCTTTGGGGGGCCCCCACGGAGACCCGGGAAAGACACAGAGCCAATGAGAACGGGGCGCTGGATCACCGCGCGCTCGAGAAGGCGGCGGGGGAGCGGAGTGCGGAGCCGCGCCCGGCGGCCGGCACTGTCCAGCCGTGTCCCAGAGGCGGCAGAACGGGGACGCGTTCCCTCCGCTCCAGAGCAGCCGTGGTGGTGGCTCAGAGAAGACGCCGAGGGGCCCCCGGACGGCCGTCTTCCTGCAGCCGTTTGTGGGGACCCAGGGACTTCGACCGCAGGCCCTGGGCCACCACCCTCATCCAGGCCTGGCACCCGATGCCCAGGGCCCGCGCCGCCTACAGAGCCAGGAGAAGGGCGGCCGCCGTTCCGCAGAGTCACTGCCGGTCCCCGAGGGGGGGCTGGGCGCTGGGAGAGGCCTCCGAGGGCGCCGGGCCCCCTGCGTCCCACGGGGACGGGGCTGGCGCTCAGCAGGGCGCCGCCCGGAGCCCAGCGGCCAGGCCGCGCTCGGGGCCCGGGTCCTCCCCGGCTGCTCCCTGTCCGGGAGAGGCTGCGGGCACCGGCCCGCCCGCTCTCCGGGCACCGGCCCCCGGCGCGCTGGGAGCCGGGGAGCGGGCCGCCCTCCGAGTGGCCGGGTGTCCGGGCAGGTCCGTCCGGCGGAGGAGGGCTGTGGTTCCCCTGCCGCTGTCCCTCCGGGCTCGGTGGGCCCGGAGGCGGGTGCTGCCGCGGAGGGGAGCGGCGGTCACCGCGCAGGATCGCCGCCGCGCCCGTGTGTCCGCGAGGCTCCGCAGCGCCATCGTCATCCAGGCGTGGGCGCGGGGCTTTCTGCAGAGGCGGAGGCTCCAGGAGGCCAGAGCCAGCGCCCTGACGATCCAGGTACGTGCACTTCCTTCCACGGAAGCTCCCGTTCTCCCGGGGACCAGCCCGCAGGGCTAGGGCGCTGGGTTAGGGCCACGTTCCCGATCCAGAACGGCCGGGTTTGAGGGCGCCCGGGGCGCTGGGAGGGACTGAGCCCAGACGGCGCCGACGGGGGTGCTGGGCAGCGGCCCCGGGGGCGATGGGGGGGCTCTCCCCGGAGGACGGGGCGGAGGCGGACTTCTCTGTTGAGTGACCTTTCTAAGTGAGCCCCTCCCGGGTGTCTGTCTGCCCAGCAGGCTGCGTGGCGGAGCTACAGGGAGCGGCGGCAGGCGCGGGCCGAGGAGGCGGCCTGCAGGATCCAGGCCTGGGTCCGGGGCTGGCAGGCGCGCAGGGAGTACCGGGCCGTGCTGAAGGCTGTGCGGGCCGTGCAAGGCCGCTTCCGGGCCCGGCGGGCCAGAGCACGGTAATGCAGCCCGCTGGAGCTGGGGCGGGCGGGCGGGCATGGGCGTGTGCGTGTGCATGTTTACAATGATGGCTGCTAGAAAATAAGCACAGATTGGACTTTTCTGTTATGCTCTTTTGTTATTGCCTTTCATGTACTTTCTCCTCCTCCAGTGTCTGTTTAAATGCGGGTCCGTAAATACTTACCAAATAGATTGGTCTGAACTTGCTTTCCGATGACCCTCCAGGTTCCTGAGCGTGAGGGCGGCCGCAGTTACCATCCAGAGGAGGTGGAGAGCCACACTGTCGGCCAGGAGGGCCCGTGAGCACTTCCTGGCGGCGCAGGTGGGTCTGAGCGTGCCCCGGACGTGTGCAAAGAGCTGCCTCAGGAGGCAGGAAAGAGCAGCCTGGACGCCAGGGAGACCGAGGGCTGGGACTTAGTAACATGTGCCCTGAGGGGTGGCGCACACACTGGGCGTGTTTGAAAGCCGATAGCACTTCTGACCACCGTGTAAAGAACGTCAGCTTTTAAGCGTTAACTCGCCGACTTACGGTCGGATAGTGGGACGCACAGGAGGAGGCATGGATTGCTGTCTTACCAGTGGTTCCCTCTCCTTCAGACGGCAGAACACAGAGCCAGAGTCCGGCTCCTGCGCTGGGCAGCCGCCGCCCGCTGCCACCTGGCTGCCGCCCGGATCCAGCGGGCATACCGGCGCCACGCGGACCGGCGCCTGCGGGCCGCCATCTGCATCCAGGTGAGCCTTGCCGTGTGGCCGGGACATGTGTGTGACTCGCCTGGATATTTAATAGGTGATTCCCCTGTGCACTCGTTTACATCACACACCAAGCAGCCCGGCCGGCCGGTGTGGCTGGTGGTGGAGCGTCGACCTACGAACCAGGAGGTTCAGGGTTCGATTCCCGGTCAGGGCACAGGCCCGGGTTGTGGGCTCGATCCCCAGTGTGGGGCGTGCAGGAGGCAGCCGGTCCATGATTCTCGTCACTGATGTTTCTCTCTCTCTCCCTCTCTCTCTCTGCAATCGTTAACACACACACACACACACACACACACACACACACACGGAGTAAAATCCTCCCCTGCTTTCCACAGAGATGGTTCCGGGCCAGGCTGCGGCTGCAGAGGTTCATGCACATCCGTCACAGCATCGTCGCCCTCCAGCGCCAAGTTCAAGTGCAAGCTCGTGGGCGGCAGCAGGACCGGGCGGCCTCGGTGATCCAGGCCGCCGCGCGCCGTTTCCTCCTCCGCAGGAAGCAGGAGCGGCTCCGCCGCGCGGCGGTGGCGATCCAGGTGGGGCCGAGGCTCGGTGCAGGTCACTAACGCTCTGCACACAGCCGCACACCCTTAAACAGATGCGTTCAGTCCGAGACCCGGGGTCCGCAAACTGCGGCTCGAAAGCCGCCTGCGGCTCTCTGGCCCCCGGAGGGCGGCTCTTCCACAGAACACCACGGCCCGGGCGGGTCCGTGTGGGAGACGTGGCGTCAGAAGGAGTTTAAGTTTAAAAACTGTGGCTCTCCAGAGACATGTCTATCTATGTTGTGCTGTTGGCCTTTGGCTCTGTGGACAGATGAGTTTGTCGACCCCTGCCCTAGACTGAGTCATCGGCGCCGAGCTGCCAGATGCCCTGTTCGGGTTCCCGGGGGCGCGTGTGTGTGTGATGAGGGGGCGTCGGCGTGTTAGCGGTCAGCTGGCTGGGCCGGGGGGAGCGGGCACTGAGACAGGAACGCCCGCACGGTTCTTAGAAAGCCCGGCCGGCCGTTTCTCGGAACCGCAGGGGCGCTCGCTGCCAGCTGCCTGCGCCTCTGTAAACGCAGCTGTTTACCTGGCGGAGACGAGGGCCGACGCCGCCAGAGCATCCCGCGCGGCCTGACCCGCGCCGCTTGTCCCCAGGCGCTGTGGCGGGGCTACGCGCTGAGGAAGAGCAACGACTGCCCGAGAATCACGGCCCTCCGCACCAGCCTGCGCGCGCTGAGCGGCGAGGTCCGCGAGGAGGACCGGCTGTGCCGGCGGACGGCGCTGGCCCTCCACCACCTGCTCACCTACAGGCACCTGTCGGCCGTCCTTGAGGCCCTGCGGCACCTGGGTGAGCCGTGTCCCATGCCAAAGCCCTTATCTGGGGTCACGGCGGCCTCCGGCCACGCTGGCTGGCCTCGCGGGCTCTGAGCCTCCCTCTCTCTCTCTCCCTCTCTCTCCCTCCCTCCCTCCCTCCCTCCCTCCCTCCCTCCAGAGGTGGCCACCAGGCTGTCCCCGCGCTGCTGCGAGGACATGGCCCAGAGCGGTGCACTCCGGCAGCTCTTCCTGCTGATCCGCAGCTGTAACCGCAGCGTGCCCTGCATGGAGGTGGTCAGCTACGCCGTGCAGGTGCTGCTGCACGTGGCCAAGGTATCCGGCTCCTGGCAGGTGCTCCCGGGCAGGTGCTCCCCGGCCCTCCTCAGTGTGGTCCCGGGCAGGTGCTCCCGGGCAGGTGCTCCCCGGCCCTCCTCAGTGCGGTCCCCGGCAGGTGCTCCCCGGCCCTCCTCAGTGCGGTCCTGGGCAGGTGCTCCCCGGCCCTCCTCAGTGCGGTCCCCTCCAGGTGCTCCCCGGCAGGTGCTCCCCGGCAGGTGCTCCCGGGCAGGTGCTCCCCGGCAGGTCCTCGCCGGGCCTGGGCTGCTCGGCAGTGCGGTCCTGGGCGCTCGTCCCGCGCCTCCTCCCGGCACCGCGCTCACTGTCCCCCGCCCCGCCCTCCTCCTCCAGTACGAGCGGACGGCGGCCGCAGTGAGCGCCGTGGACGGCTGCGTGGACACGCTGCTGGGCCTGCTGCGCATGTACCGGGAGAAGCCGGGCGACCGGCTCGCCGACAAGAGCGGGGGCATCTTCACCAGGACCTGCTGCCTGCTGGCCGTCCTGCTGAGGGCGGCGGGCCCGGCCGCGGTGAGCGGACACGGCCCTCGGTCCCGGGACCCTGTCGGCTGGGGGGAGGGGGCCGGGGCCGGTGGGGGGCACGCCGGTCGGGGCAGGAGGTCGGTACTTGCCCTTGGGCTCCGCGTAGGGTCAGGGTCAGGGGGGTGGGATATTTGCCCTCTTTGTCATCGTCTGGTGAATCGGTTTATGATTGACCCCGGTCTGACCTCGGAGCCGGTCTGTCACGGCTGTGCTTGCCGTGATAGAAGGAGTGAAACTCAAGTGCGCATTTTCCTGTCCAGGAAGCTCAGGTCAGGTCCAAGGTCGCCGGCTGTGTGAGCGGCATCTACAGGCTCACGGCGCAGAAGCACCGAGCGGACCCGGAGCGGACGCTGCCCCGGCCCAGCCACGACTCCTCCGCCAGCCTGCCCCGCCTCTCGGAAAGCCCCGCCAGGGCCCGGCCGGTGGCCCGGTAAGCGGGTGGCTCCGCGGCCCGGGTCCCGGTGCCCGCGCGTCCTGAGCGCGTGGTCGCTCGGCGGCCGCGTCTGACGCTGGAGGGGCAGCCCCGACCCTCCGAGGGGAGCCCGGCCCGGGCAGCCGTCTCGGGAAGCGGCGCCGTGGGTGCTGCGGCCGGGCAGTCAGGCCCGTGGTTCTGGGAGGGAGCAGTGCAGAGGTCACCTGAGGGTCATGAGGTCCAGGGCCCACGCGATAGCCTTTAGGCCCAGGAGGGGGGTGGTCACCCTGGGGACAGAGAAGACAGACAAGGAACCTCAGGGGCCCCCGTTCCTCTGGAAGTCGGGGGGGGGGGGGGAGCCAGCCGAGGTGCTAACGGGACGGGGGACACCCCAAGGCCGGAGGAGCGGGCGCTGCCAGGGGCGGCCAGCTGGAGAGGCAGGAGGACGCGGTTAACGCGAGGCCTCCGTCTTCCAGCCTCCAGCCGGACTGGGTCCTGAGGAGGGAGGCCGGGCAGGAAATCACGACGCCCCTGCAGGCCGCGCAGCTGGTGATGGACACGCTGGGCCTTCCTTACCCCTGACGGACGGACGGACGGACGGCCAGCGGGCAGGACAGGACGCCGTGGGGCTAATCATGGCTGCGAAAGTGCTTTGGACTTTTCCTAGAAACTCCTACGATCAGATATTTGTATTAAAATGTAAGAAATACTTATACCAATAAAGTTTGTACACTTGTCATTGTTTCTTTTCGCAGTAGCTCTACGTACATGATTCCCCCACCCCTACCCCCCCTCTGCCTTCCATTCTCTAAAGACCAATGGGGAAAATATCCTCGGTGAGGATTAACAAAAGTGAAGACAAAGGCCAGCTGGCTGGCTGCTTAAATGTGTCCTTAAATGATAAGATTTCGTAAAAGGGTCCAGGTGATTCAGGGGTTGGGTCGCCCATGATCCTCCGGGTTCTTGGCTTCTCGCGGGAAAGCATTCACTCACCAGCCAGCACAGAGTTTCCCCTGACAGTTTCTTAAGAGACAGAGGGAGGAGGGCGGCTCCTCCCCAGGCCGCAGCCCCTCCCTCCTCGGAGGCTCATGGAGACGCCGGCATTCCGTGGGGGGAGCACGGGGTTTTCCTGGGGACGGGGTGAGGAGCCCCGTCGGCCTGTTTCCTTATTCGGGGTTCCGGTCGCCAGGACCGTGAGCGTGGGGGAGGGAGGGGCTGCTGCCAGGCCAGACTAGTCCCCCGTGTGGTGCCATCTGCGCTGCCAGCTCTAACCCACAGTCCTCCGGGGCTGGCTGGTCCTACGAGCTCCCTGATGGTCCTGGCAGCCTGGATTGGCCCCAGCTGAATGGCCACTCACTCCATCTCGCTGGTGGACAATTTTTAAATTAAAAACAAATGATTGAGCCCTAACCGGTGTGGCTCAGTGAACAGAGCGTCGGCCTGCGGGCGGAAGGGTCCCAGGTTCGATTCCGGTCAAGGGCATGGACCTTGGTGGCGGGCACATCCCCAGTGGGGGGTGTGCGGGAGGCAGCTGATGTTTCTCACTGATGTTTCTAACTCTCCCTCTCCCTCTCTGTAAGAAATCAATAAAATATATTAAAAACAACCACAAGTGACCGAAAACGAGCAGAGGCCATATTCTCTCTCTCACTGGGAAGCCACCTGAATGTCCGTAAAGAGTCAAATGCCAAGGCGACCTGTGTGTGGGAACAATGAGATACAGGCCACCCAGGGGAGGGACCAGCCACCACAGCCAGGACGCGTGGATCCCACAAACAGAAGGTGAAAGGAGACGTCAGCCATAGAAATACGCACAGATGACTTCGTTTATGCAGCACAAAACCTGTGAGAGCCTATGATGTGGAAGTCAAGATAGTACTTACCACCCAGCCAGCGTGGCTCAGTGGTTAAGCACCGACCTAGGAACCAGGAGGTCACGGTTCGGTTCCCGGTCAGGGCACAGGCCCGGGTTGGCATCTATCCCTAGTAACGGGCATGCAGGAGCCCCATCATCATTGACATTTCTATCTCCCTCCCTCTCCTTCTCTGAAATCAATAAAAACATATTTAAAATTTTTTTAAAAAGATGTTTACAAAATCGAACTCATCCCAGCTTCCACCTCCTGGCATGACTTTGTGGTTTCAAGTGAAAACCCGTTAAGAACACATTAGACCCGTGGCCGGCAAACGCCGGCTCAAGAGCCACTTGCGGCTCTTTGGCCCCTTGGGTGTGGCTCTCCCACAGAACACCACAGCCTGGGCGAGTCTGTGTGGAAGAAGTGGCGTTAGAAGAAGTTTACGTTCAAAAAATGTGGCTCTCCAGAGACATTTCAACCGAAGCCGGTGTGGCTCAGTGAATAGAGCGTCGGCCTGTGGACTGAAGGGTCCCGGGTTCGATTCCGGTCAAGGACGTGGACCTTGGGTGCGGGCACATCCCCAGTAGGGGGTGTGCAAGAGGCAGCTGGTCGATGAGTCTCTCTCATCGATGTTTCTTTCTTCCTCTCCGTAAAAAATCAATAATAATATATATATATATATATATATTTGAAAGACATTTCAATTGTACTCTTGATATCTGGCTCTGTGGACTGATGAGTTTGCCCACCACTGCCATCAGATGCCCCCGGACCCTCCTGCTCCCCGGTTTTCCATGGCTGAGTCCTCCAGGGCAGACCACGGCCAGCTGCCTGGTGTCCACCCACGTTGCACCTGCCGCTGACCACGCGGCTCCAAACATTCGCTGCTTCGATCGCCCAGGAGGCCGGAGGTCACTGCCCTGGCACCGAGCAGCGTGCAAGGCCAGCTGTCCATCATCACCCCCCCCCCAGGTCAGCCCCCTCCCCCCCCCCCGATCCAGGGCGATCTGTACTCCGTGGGCGCCGACGTTGAATGCTGACCCCGTTTCTCAGGCGCAGCCCGAGTTAATGATTGGTGCCGAGGCCCCTCGGGGTCACCCCGTCCTGGTTGGGCTGGGGCCTGAGACACATCGGCCGGCCGCCAAGGCTGCCTGATGGGATGTGGTTCTGGTCAGTGGGGCAGCGGGCTGGCCACCCGGGGACACGGGCTGCTCTCAATCATTAACGTCTTCCTGAGAAGCCTTGTGTATTTAAGCAGAGCCCTCCCCCGGCCCCCTCCCCCGGCCCCCGGGGCCTTTAAAATGGCTCCAGATCTGGGCGAAGCACGGCCCGGACCATGAGGCCCAGAGACCTGGCGTGGATGATCCTCCTCACGGCCGCGGGAGGACTCCGCGCGGAAGGTAAATCTCGCTTTGCGTGCGCTTCCTTCTCTCCGCGGTATCAGGGGACAGGCTGGCGTCCGTCTCACCTGGCTTCTGGTGCCGTGTTCCATGTTCTCTGTGTCGATGTGATTTTTTCTTTTTTTTAAAAAAAATGAGGACGGGAGTTCAGACAAGCCGGGAGCTGCGGGCTCCGTAAGGGTGACACCTGGCTAGCCGGACAGCCCCGTGGGCGGCTGGGGTGAGCCTCGCGGGGCGGAGGGGGGCTAGCTGTGGGTGTCATACGAAGGTAAGAAACCAGGGCGGCCGCCGTCAGCAGACTGAGCGCACAAAGCGGGAAGCCACGGCAACAGACCCTCCTAAAGCGCACACCGGAGGGGGGGTCTGTTGAAATAAAATACCCTAACGCGCCAAAACTGGTGTGGCTCAGTGGATAGAGCGTCTGCCTGCGGACTGAAAGGTCCCGGGTTCGATTCCAGTCAAGGGCATGGACCTTGGTGGCGGGCACATCCCCAGTAGGGGGTGTGCAAGAGGCGGCTGATCGATGAGTCTCTCTCATCGATGTTTCTAACTCTCTATCCCTCTCTCTTCCTCTCTGTAAAAAATCAATAAAATATATTAAAAAATTAAAAATAAAATAAAATACCCTAACGGGGCCCTGGCTGGTGTGCTCAGTGGTTAGAGCACTGGCCGGCGCACAGTAGGGTGTCGGGTTCAATTCCTCGTCCAGGGCGCGTACCTCGGTTGCAGGTTCAATGCCAGGCCCCCGTGGGGTGGGGCCTCAAGCAGGCGGCAACCAACCAGTGTGTTTCTCTCACATCAATGTTTCTCTCTCTCTCTCTCCCTCTCTCTCTCTCTCTCTAAACATCAATGGAAAGAATATCCTCATTCTTCCGATGTACATCCTGCCAGATTGTAACCGCCTTTTAGCGACATATTTTTCCTACAAATTTTCTACCAAAAAACAGGGCCCGAAATCAAAGTTGTGAAAAGTGAAATGAGTAGGATACGTCTTACTTGATGCTTGGAATCCCGCCATAAGATACTGCTTGCATGGCCCCGTCGGCATGGTGGCTCGGTGGCTGAGCGTCGACTTAGGAGCCAGGAGGTCAGGGTTCGATTCCCCATCGGGGCACAGGCCCGGGCTGCGGGCTCCATCCCCAGGGTGGGGCGTGCAGGAGGCAGCCGGCCTGTGATTCTCTCTCATCATGGGTGTTTCTATCTCTCCCTTCCCCTCTCCCTTCCTCTCTGACATCCGTATAAGTATATATATATATTTTTTAAAAAAGATAATCATTTCCCATGATCCTCTTCCTTCGCTGAGAAACTGAGGCACGGCGGGGACGAGCCCGCCGTTCCGCGGAAAGGTGTCCCATGAGGTTGGGGGGAGCTTTCTGAGCCGACAGCTGCCCAGGGCCCACTGACTGCTGCGTGTTGTGGGGGCAGAGACGGGAGTGGCTCAATGGTTAATTCCCCATGGAAAGGGATCGTCCCCGAAGTCCTTAAAAATGTAGGTGATTGTGCCGAAGCCGGTGTGGCTCAGTGGCTAGAGCATCAGCCTGCGGACTGAAGGGTCCCAGGTTCGATTCTGGTCAAGGGCATGGACCTTGGTTGCGGGCACATCCCCAGTAGGGGGTGTGCAAGAGGCAGCTGGTCGATGATTCTCTCTCATCGATGTTTCTAACTCTCTATCCCTCTCCCTTCCTCTCTGTAAAAAATCAATAAAATATATTTATATATATTTTTTAAAAACGTAGGTGGTGAGACGCAGTAGTGGTCCTCCTGCCTGCCAGGGCTCGGACAGGCAGGCGGCGGGCGTGGCCAGGCCACCCCTGTCACGGCCCCGAGCGCCCTGGTTCGGCTTTGCCGTGGCTCCGTGGCTCCGTGGCTCCGCCGTGGCTCCGCCGTGGCTCCGCCGTGGCTCCGCGGCCGCAGCCTGACTGTCCCCTCCCAGCAGACACGCCCTGCGGCCTGCCCCGCGTGGAGAACGGGAGGATCGCCGTCTATTACTACACGTTCGAGAGCTTTTACTTCCCGATGGCCGTGGGCCGCACGCTGGCCTTCTCCTGCCTGGCCGGCTACACCACCGACTCCGGGAAGCAAGAGGACAGGACCGCCTGCACCGCGGGGGGCTGGGCCCCCGAGCCCCGGTGCTACAGTAAGTCCCGCCCTGCGCCGGCCGGCCCCGTCCACAGGAGCGGCCGCCCGGGCCCGTGTGGCTCAGTGGTGAGCACCCACCTGGGAACCAGGAGGTCAGGGTTCGATGCCCGGTCAGGGCACAGGCCCGGGTGGCGGGCTCGGTCCCCAGTGGGGGGCGTGCAGGAGGCAGCCGGTCCAGGAGTCTCTCTCACCGTGGATGTTCCTCTCTCTCACTCTCTCCCTTCCTCTCAGAAATCAATGAAAAATAAATAAATAGAAGGGGCCAGTGAGATGTAGTTAGTTCCTTTGGCAGAGAATATCGTAAGGACGGCCGTGTATTTTTTTATTTTATTTATTTTATTTTATTTTATTTTAT